ATCTCATATCTATATTATGTTTCATTCAGTATATCTGTAAGATAAACTACTAGAAGTGGGATTAGTGAGTCAAAAGATATAATATGTATTTGTAACTTTCATATCTTTCCAAACTGACCCTATACAGGGTTTAACAACTTGCACACTGCCAGCCAAGCATGACAGTGAGTAATTCCCCAAAACTTTGACAACTGTGTCAAACTGAAGCAGCTTCGTTAACTGGGGTAAATATCTGGGTTTCATTGTCTTGTGTCAAGGAAATTTAGGACACAGACACACAGGAGTTTAGGAGCAGAGGTTTTTTTTTTGTTTTGATCTCAGCTCACTGCAACCTCTGCCTCCTGCGTTCAAGCAATTCTCCTACCTCAGTCCCCACCAGTAGTTGGGATTACAGGCACATGCCACTATGCCAGGCTAATTTTTCTATTTTTAGTAGACACTGGGTTTCACCATGTTGACCAGGATGGTCTCCAACTCCTAACCTCAGGTGATCTACCCACCTCACCTCCCAAAGTGCTGGGATTACAGGCGTGAGCAACCGTGCCCGGCCTTTCCTTCTACTTTCATTGGGGTTATTTTGTCCTTGTGTTTTTTTCCTACTTTTTAGCCCTTTCTCCCTGGCATAAGCATCTTAGGCTCTAAGCAATACTTTCATTATATCCTTTCATTTGTTTCTTCTCCCCTCTGCCCTCGTCACTTATGCTCTGGTGTGTGGTATTTTCATTACTGTTCGGTTCTATTTTTGAATTTCTACTACAATTTTTAAATCTCTCTGATAATTTATATTTTTCATTTCAAAGTACTTTGTTACTAATTTTTAACTTATTTGCATTTTGGCTGGGCAAAAATGGTATAGTATTATTACCAATGTTAACATTTGTAGGGCTTGCTTTATGGCCAATTTTCAAAAATGTTCCATGTTTGAAAAGTATATTCTGAACTGGCTGCAGTAGCTCAGGCCCATAATCCCACCAACTTGGGAAACTGAGGCTGGGGATTGATTGAGGCCAGACGTTTGAGACCAGCCTTGGCAACACAATAAGACCCCCATCTCTAAAAATATTTGAAAACTTAGCTGGGGCAGTCCAGGTGCAGTGGCTTATGCCTGTAACCTGAGCACCTGCTAAGGCAGGTGGATCTCTTCAGGTCAGGAGTTCAAGACCAGCCTGGCTAACATGGTGAAACTCTGTCTCTACTAAAAACACAAAAATTGGCTGGCTGTGGTGGCACATGTCTGTAATCCCAGTTACTTGGAGGTTGAAGCAGGAGAATCACTTGAACCCAGGAAGTGGAAGTTGCAGTGGGCTGAGATTGTACCACTTTACTTCAGCCTGGGTGAAAGAGTAAAACTCTGTCTTAAAAAAAAAAAAAATTTTCACCCTGTCTTTCTGTTGTTGTTGAGACAGAGTCTCACTCTGTCACTGAGGCTGGAGTGCAGTGGCATGACCACAGGTTACTGCAGCCTCAACCTCCAGGGCTCAAGTGATCCACCCACCCCAGCCTCCCCAGTAACTGGGACTACAAGTATGGGCCATCACACCTGGCTAAGTAAAAAAAAAATTTTTTTTAGGCTGGGCATGGTGGCTGACACCTGTAATCCCAGCACTTTGGGAGGCCAAGGCAGGAGAATCACTTGAACCCGGGAGGCAGAGGTTAAAAAAAAAAAAATTGTAGAGATGGGGTCTCACTATGTTGCCCTGGGTGGTCTCCAACTCCTGAGCTCATGCGATTCTCTCACCTCAGCCTCCCAAAGTACTGGGATTACAGGCTTGAGCCACAGTGCCTAGCCACATCCTGTCTTTTAACTGGAGCACTCAGTCCCTTTTATATTTAAGTACTGGTGTAATGGTTTCAAATTTTCCTCCTCCTTTTGTACCTTCTATTTGTTCCACCTGTTCTGATCTTTTTCTTTCTTTCCTTCCTCTGGATTTCTTCCTCTGGATTTATCACTGCATTTGCACTATTTTCCCCTTTACTGATCTGGAGTTTATTTTTAAATTTTTTAAATTTTAATTTTTATTTTTTTTGAGATGGAGTCTCCCTCTGTCACCCAGGCTGGAGTGCAGTGGCATGATCTCGGCTCACTACAACCTCTGCCTCCCGGATTCAAGCAATTCTCCTCCTTCAGCCTTCTGAGTAATTGAGATTACAGGCATGCACCACCACACCTAGCTAATTTTTGTATTTTTAGTAGGGGGGGGTTCACCATGTTGGCCAGGTTGGTCCCAAACTCCTGAGTGATTCGCCCACCTCAGCCTCCCTAAGTGCTGGGATTACAGGCATGAACTACCACAACTGGCCATACAAATATGTTTTATTTGAGACTACAGTAGGGAAATTTTAGTTAATGATTTGTCAGGTTTTATTTTTATGTATTTTTTTTTTTTGAGATGGAGTCTTGCACTGTCACCCAGGCTGGAGTAAAGTGGTGGGATCTCAGCTCACTGCAACCTCCACCTCCCAGGTTAAAGCAATTCTCCTTGCCTCAGCCTCTCAAGTAGCTGGGACTACAGGAGCACACCACCATGCCTGGCTAATTTTTTTTTTGTATTTTTAGTAGTGACAGGGTTTGACTATGTTGACCAGACTGGTCTGGAACTCCTGACTTGGTGATCTGCCCACCTCAGCCTCCCAAAGTGCTGGGATTACAGGCGTGAGTCACCACACCCAGCCCTATCGCATGCTTTAAAATAGATATATTTAAAAATATTACACATACCCCCAAAGTATGTACAATTATGATATGTCAATTTAAAACTTAAAAAATTGCCCTTTTCAACAACCCATTCTCTGGAAATCAAGATGCTCAACTCCCAATAAACATTAAATTCATAAAAGAGGAAGACTTCAGGAATCTGAACAACCATCAAAGACCTAATTATTTCACTATGAATCAACAAAAAATTAAACTCAATTTTAAAACCAAACTACCTAGCTTATAAACACTAATTGAAACTTGTTTAGGGTATATTTATTCACCTTTCAATTTCTTCACAGGTTAAAAAAATGAATGAATGATATCATACCGCCAGACAACCTAAATCCCTACCTAGAATGATCAGTTTGGTTTCCCAGTACACCAGACAGTCAAAACCTGCACGGTTTTGATTGAACAACAAATACTGCATGCTCACTCCATACCAAGCATGAGGACTAGGTATTTAGCATGCTTTATTTCATTTGCTCCTCACAACATCCTCATACATTGTCATCCCCATTTTACAGTGGAGGAAAACTGCAAAGTTCAACCTGAGAGCATCCGATTCGAAAACGTTTCACCGAACTACGTTAAGAGGAGCACTGAGTTTGGAAGCTTCAAGTTCTAGGCTCAGCCAAGTACTAAGCTTTACAATGCATGGGAGGAGGTGTTGGGGAGTGCTACCGCCGGGATCCAAGCCCTGCTGGAAGGATGAACTACAGAAGTTACATGGCTTTGCAAACCCTTCCCTCCTCACCAAATGCCAACCGAAGCTAGCTACGCCAGGACACACGTTTTAAAACTCTCCCTAGATGTTTAAAATTCGGAGACCACCAAGAGTTTAGAGAAGCCGCACGTGGTGCTACCAGGGCTTCTGGCTTTGGAAGCCACTGCCTTGCAGGAGAAGCCTTTCCTGTGCTCCAGGCAGTGGTTCGGGCTCATTTCATGTTCCCCTCAGCCCCCCAGTACCAAAAGCTCTATGTTTCTGGCACGTGTAAAACTCGCGGCGGGAACTAGGCGCAGACCCACGGGAGATCTGCTTCTCCTGAACTCCAGCAACAGAGGTGGGATGAGGTAGGATGGGTAGGAGAGGTTGATCCGAATCCCAGATCCCCCCCACCATCGTAGATTTCATAAAGAAAAAAGGGGAGGGAAGATGGAACCAAGTTTGTTTTCGCCCAACTTTTTGCCCTCTCCCACGTGGGTTGGTCTCTTTCTCCCTGGCTGGGTCATGTCCCCTCCGCGCGCCTCAAGCTTTCGGCCACACAGACCGTGCGGCAAACCATCTCCGATCACAGCAGCGGGGGTCCTTAAATTTCCTGGGTTCTAACCTCAGGCCAGACTGTTGGGACCCCGCGCTGCTGGAGTTCTAAGTTAGGGCCGGGCGGTTAAGACCCAACGTCGGCGGAGGAGACGGCGCAGGGTCTAAGCTTCCATCTAACAGGTTAGGGAGCGGACGCAACCCCGAGTTTCCAGCTTCCCGGTCCCTCGGCCGGCGTACGCACTCACCATGGCAGCGATTCCACAGGCTCGGCACGCCAATTGGAGCGCAGCTGACGTCTGAGAAGCGCTCGCCTCCACCGGAACTCACAGAAGAAGAAGCGGAAACGGTCCTGCGCAGCAGGAAGCGAAGGTGACGCTACTCGAATGAGCGAGGCCCCGCCCAGTACGGGGGGCCTTGGCGCGGTGACCAACTCAGCGTTGGTGAAGGAACGTACTTTGGCGTTCTTATGAACTATGTAGTACAGATTATTGTCAGAAACAATGAGTTAAAAATTCAAAAGTAACCCACTGGCCGGTCGCAGTGGCTCACGCCTATAATCCCAGCATTTATGGGAGGTCGAGGCGGGCGAATCATCTGAGGTCTGGAGTGCCAGACCAGCCTGGCCAAAATGGCGAAACCCCATTTCTACTAAAAATACAAAAATTAGCCGGGCGTAGTGGCGCACGCCTGTAGTCCGAGCTACATGGGCGGCTGAGGCAGGAGAATCGCTTGAACCCAGGAGGCAGAGGCTGCAGTGAGTCGAGATCTCGCCACAGCACTCCAGCCTGGGCGACAGATCGAGACTCCGTTTCAGAAAAACAAAACAAAACAAACAAAAGTAACTAGAGAAATAGAGAAATACTTCCCAACTGGTTGAAATATCTGATGCCCCTTTCCTGTGACCCCAAAAATCACTTAAAATCCGGCCACTAGGCCGGGTGCGGTGGCTCAGGCCTGCAATCCCAGCACTTGGAGAGGCTGACGTGGGCTGATTAATTGAGGTTAGGAGTTCCAGGCCAGCCTGACCAACATGAAGAAACCCCCATCTCTACTAAAAATACAAAAAAATAGTTGGGTGTGGCGGTGGGCGCCTGTAATCCCAACTACTCGGGAGGCTGAGGCAGGAGAATCCCTTGAACCCGGCATTTCGCCATTGCACTCCAGCATGAGCAATAAGAGCAAAACTAAAAAAAAAAAAAAAATCCAGCCACTAAACGGTTAAGGCCTGGCTCATTCTGATTGGCTGCCATCCCTGCCTGCTCAGATATTTAGTATTTGAATAAGAACCTTTGGGTGAACACAGGTATTCAGTGTAAGAGCAGCTAAGTGACTGGCTGGCTCTAGTGGCCAGAGAGCAGTCCTAAAAGAAAAAAAAAAAAAAAAGAACGAGTCTTCAGGGTAGCATTTATTTTCCCACCAACGCTGATCCTAAGTTGGGAAAAGTAATTTCCCCCAGAAGAAATCAGGATACTGCGAGCAACAAGGAAGGGATGCTAAATGGTCAAACAAGAATACATGTATTCAGTACAGTGTTCATTAAATGTTTGATAATGAATGGAAGGATAGGCAGATCCAAGCATCTCATAGGAAGAAAGAAATCAAGCCGACTGCAGGTTATATCATTCCATCACACATTCAGGGAACTTAATCCCTTCACTCCAGAGATGGGGTTGTTTAAAATAAGTTCTTCCTTTTTTTTTTTTTTTTTTTTGAGACCGAGTCTCACTCTATTGCCCAGGCTGGAGTGCAATGGCATGATCTTGGCTGACTGCAACCTCTGCCTCCCAGGTTCAACTTATTCTCCTGCCTCAGCCTCCCGAGTATTTGGGATTATAGGCATGCACCACCACACCCGGCTATCTTCTTTCTGTTAATTACTTTTGAGCAATTCCCCAATACTGTCCTTACTTGCATCAAGAGCATGCTAGCCAGCCCTGGCACCAGGGTCAGAGTTGAGGCTGGGGGCATCAGCCTCCTTTGTGAGGTGGCCTCAGTGACATAAGGGCTATGAGATGGCGGCTACCCTACTGTAGCTGGCTGCATCAGATGTACCAGGCCTTCCCTCTAGCTCCCAATACCATCTTCCTGACCTAAACTTTGCCATGTTGTTGTCACTGCTGGGTGCCTGTGCCGTGGTAGGGCCATTCCATGGCCCTGAGTGGGAGCCAGTGCAGGGCCTGCTCTCCCAGGATCACAGCTGCAGGGACCCTCAGTGCTGTGGCAACCTGCTTGTCCTCTGCCTCTTTCTGGTCTGGCAGGTCCGGCACTATTGGCACCAGGTCACCAGGACCCGCTTCAGCACAAGGAATGTCATCAAGGTGAGTGGGTCTTATACACCTTCACCCTCCTTCCCTCAGCACCAAGATTGTCTCTGTCACTTGTTACAAGGACCTTTTTCTATCCCTGGTGTACCAGAAATGAATCATAGGGGAACTCACATTGCTCAGGGAGAGCAGTGGCCAAGCCCCAAACCCAGGAGTCAACCTGATCTCCTCTCTTTCCCTCACTCCACACATTCAATCCATCTGCAAGTCCCAGGGGCTCTACTTGGAAATTGTATCTCAAATCTGATCACTTCTCCCAACCATACCACAGCTTCCTGGGCAGAGACACCATCATGTCTCACCTGGACCATAGCAACAGCCTTCTGCCCAGTTCTTGCTGCTTCTCTTATCCAGTCACAGCCTATCCTCCATATAGTCACCATAATGGCCTTCTTCTTTCTCTTTCCTTCTTTCTTTCTTTTTCTTTTTTTTTTTTGAGATAGAGTCTCACTCTGTTGCCGAGGCTGGAGTGCAGTGACACAATCTCAGCTCATAGCAACTTCTGCCTCCCGGGTTCAAGCAATTCTCCTGCCTCAGCCTTCCTAGTAGCTGGGATTACAGGCATGCGCCATCACACACAGATAATTTTTGTATTTTTAGTAGACACGGGATTTCACCATATTGGCCAGGCTGGTCTCTAACCCCTGACCTCACGTGATCCACCCATATTAGCCTCCCAAAGTGCTAGGATTACAGGGGTGAGCACCATGCCTAGCAGACTCTGTGGATTTCTTTCTTCTTTTTTTTTTTAGATGGAGTTTCACTCTGTCACCCACGCTGGAATGCAGTGCCATGATCTTGGCTCGCTGCAACCTCTGCCTCCTGGGTTCAAGTGATTCTCCTGCCTCAGCCTCCTGAGTAGCTGGGATTACAGGCATGTGCCATGATACCCAGCTAATTTTTGTATTTTTAGTAGAGATGGAGTTTTGCCATTTTGGCCGGGCTGGTCTCAAACTCCTGACCTCAAGTGATCCACCCGTCTTGGCCTCCCAAAATGCTGGGATCACAGACATGAGCCACCATGCCCAGCCATTAGAATAAACTTTTAGAAACAGATCATAGCACTTAGGTGCTCAAAACCCTGCAGTGGTTCTTATACTTACATTATCTGTCAAACTCATAATAAAATTCACACTCCTAATCATGACTCTAAGGACCAGCATAATCTGTCCTGTGTTTGTCTCCGATCTCATCTCCCAGTGATCTCCTCATTACTGGTTTCATTTTGGCTACATGGTCTTCTTTGCTGTTCCTGTACATGTGACCTTGTTCCATCCTCAAGCCTTTGTACTTAATATCTCCTCTGCCTATAACACTCTTTCTTTAGATGTCACTTGCTTTGCTCCTTACTTCATTCAGGTCTCCAAATGTCACTCCCTCTAATAAGACTTCCCTGACTATTCTGTCTGTATGGATTACACAAGTTAATATGTGTGCAAGGATTTTGCTTCTCTGTTCTCACCTACAGGTGCCACTGCAGAAGCGGGCAGTGCCCTCCATGAGATGCAAAACTGTCTTTGAGCTGACTCCTGAATTCTTCTTCAGTCCTGGAAAGTTCAGAGGCCTAGATTCTCATCAATGGGCACAAAGGCAGAGATGGAGATACCGGAGAAGCCTCCAGGAATCATGGACCCAGAACTTGCTCTCTCCACAGCACCCAAGTCCGGGCCCACCTTCAGGTGTTCACACCCACCCTGAGCCCATTTTTTGTACCACGTCCATTTCAAGCACCTGTTTAATGCCTCAGGACAGTTGCTGGAAAGCATGGCAGGTACCTTGGTGTCTCAGAGATGGTCAGACTCACCCTGCCTTGGACATGTGCCACGAGATGGAGCAGCTGCTGCTTCACTTGCAGAAAAGGTTGGTGTCACTGGAGCCTGTCATCAGCACGAGGTCTCGCCCCACCTCCATGACCTTAACCACCTCTCTTCCAAACTTACTTTCAGCCCAGAGGCTGCAGTTCTGCTCCAGAGAGCTGTTGCCTGATTATTCTCACCAAATACCAAGAATGTGCACTTGGAAGTCCTGGGACTGCCCACCAGAGGCCTGGGAACCAGGGGGTAAAAAACAGACAGCAAGCAGAGAGGATAGTAGAGAGACCCAGGCTCCAAGGGGGATGAACCAGAGAGGGAGCAGATGGGAAGATGCTTCAGAAATGCAGGCACCTGGGGAGCAGTTCCCAGTAGACTTTGGAATGGAGGGTGATGCAGAGACTAATGTGTTGGAGTGTGCAAACCAGAGACTAGTAATAAGTGAAGCTGACGGAGAGATCTTGACACCAGGGTGGGAGAACCAGGACCGGATGGGAATTGAGAATAGAACCAACATTCAGGAACTAGGGAATAGAAACCAGAGGGAGGCTGGAGATAAGAATCCCCCTGAAACCCAGGCACATATGGGAGAGAACCAAGAAGAGTTAAGATGTAAAATTGATGCAGAGACCCAAACACCTGAGTGGGAGAACCAGGATAAGAATGGAAGTGAGGATGCTGTGGAGACCCAGACGTTTGAGAGGAAGGACAAGAAAGAGGCTGGAGGGGAAGATGGGGAACAGATCCAGGCTCAAGAATTGGGGAAGCAGGGTCAGACTAGAGATGAGAATGGTGAGAAGACCCAGATGTCAGAGTGGGAGAAACAAAAGCAGATGAAAGGTGATGCTGATGTGGAAATTCAGACAGAAAAGGGAAGAAACAAGGACCAGGCTGGAGGTCAGGATGCTGCACAAACCCCGTCACCTGGGAGACAGAACCTAGGAGAAGTAAAAAAAGAGGATAGTGTAGAGACCCAGGCCTTGGATTGGGGAAAACAGGAATGTATTGGGAATATTACAGAGATCCAGACACCAGCATGGGAGAAACAGGATCAATGTGGACGTGAGAAAGCTAGGAAGACCCAAGCATCTGGGGGAGAGAGCCAGAAACAATTAAGTCATGAAATTCAAGTGGGGTGGGGAAATAAAGGCCTGAGAAGAGGTGAAAATGCTAAAGAAACCCAAATACCTAGCAGGAAGCAGCTCAGGGAGATAAGAGAGAAGGACTGGGTGGTGATCCAGGCCCCATGGTGGGGAAACTGGAGACAAGTAGCAAGTGAAATTGACAGAGAACTTGAGATACTATGTTGGGAGGATCAGAATTGGATTGGAGGTGAAGATAGAGCAGAAATTCAGGCATCAGGGAAGAGAGACCAGAGAAAGGAAGGAGGTGAGGATGGTACAAATATCCTGGCACCTGAGGCTGAGATCCATGAACAATTAAATGGTGAAACTGATGTGGAGACTCATTCAGCAGGGAGGAAGAAGAATAAGCCACCTAGAGAAGAGAATGGTACAGACATTCAGTCACTAGGGAGGAGAGAGGTTAAAGGTGAGGATGAAAAAGAGACCCAGGAACTTGGGAAAAAAAATCAGTGTCAGTCAGGAAGTGAATTTAGTGGAAAGATTCACAGACCAAAGGGAAAGAACCAGGAACATACTAGAGGCAAGGATTGTGGACATGCCCAGACATCTGAGTCAGTGAACTGGGGCAAATTAACAAGTCAAGTTGATGGAGAAACTCAGTCAGAAGAATGGAAGAAAGATGAGCAGACTGGAGGTAAGAATGGGGCAGAAATTCAGATACAAGGGAAGAGAAACCTGAGAGAAGTTGGAGGGGAGGATGGTGTAAAGACCTGGGCACCTGGGAAAGAAACCCAGAGTCTGTTTAGAAGTGATCTTGGTAGAAAGATCCTTTTATCAGAGTGGAAGAGCCAGAAGCCGATGGGAAGTGAGAGTGGAACAGAAATTCAGGCTCCGGTGGAGAGAAACCAGAGAGAACCCGGAGGTGAGGACAGTGTAAAGATTCAGAGACCTAAGAGAGAGAACCACGGCCAGTCTGATAGTGAAATTGGAGACAGCCAGTCACCAGGGAGGAGGAACTGGGAGCTGACTGGAAAGGATGTTACAGAAAATCAGGCATCACAGAAGAGAAGCCAGAGAAAGGCTGGAAATGAGGATGGTAGAACGATCTGGAGACTTAGGGGAAAAAACTGGAGGCTGAGAGCAAAGAACCAGAGACTGTTAAAAAGTAAAGGTAATAGAAAGACCCGTTCATCAGAGTGGAAGAACCAGGAACAGGGTGGAGGTGGGAATGATGAAGAAATTCAAATACAAGGGAAGAGAAACCTGAGTGGGACCACAAGTGATGATGGCTCAGAGAGCCAGGCTCCTGCCAGAGATGACCAGAGACAATTAAGAGGTGAAATTGATGAAAAGATCCAGGTACAAGGGCAAGAAAATAAGAATGAGGGTGGAGCTGAGGATGTTGCAGAATTCCAGGATATAGCAAGCCAGAGAAAGTGCACAGATTGGGATGTTGGAGGGCCTCCAGCACCAAGGGAAGGAAACAAGGACCTGGTCAGTGGAAAGGATGCTGTGAGGGACAGTCTCCAAGTTGACTGTTCTGGGGATGAGAGACCCACAGGCAGAAAACACAACCTACCAAGGCCCCCGGCCTTCTCTGGTTCTGGACATGGGACCATGGAACAGGAACAGGCAGTGGTTGTAAATAGTTTCATCTCTTCTCTCTGTCCTGAGGTGGATCCTTTCCCCCACCGGGGTGAAGTCTTCTTGCTGGTGGGTGGGGAGGGAGAGCATGTGGCCAGCCAGGGCACAACCCCTGCCAGGGATCACAGAGTGGGGATCAGTCCAGCCTCCCAGCAGGCCCAACCTGAATCCTGCAGAAGACAACAAAGGGACAAAGAGGTAGATCCAGAGAAGGTCCCCAGCCTGACTCGGCAATACCGGAACCCTCCATCTCTGACTGCTCCCTTGGGCATGCCCTCTGCCTGTCCCTGTGTGCTGTGTGGCCCAGACCCAAAAGCTGCCATAGCTCTGGTGGGTGCTCCCACTGTCCTCACTGTCCTGCCCAAGGGGACAGTCCTCAAGAAGAGCAAACAACTGCTTCTGGAATCCCTGATGCGGAGGAGGATTGCACACCTGAAGTGGGGTCTTCCCCGGCGGATCCTGGAGTCCTATTTCCTGTTTAACTTCTTAGGATCTTGCTCATTGCCCCTTGCTGGGGCAAGGCTCCCTGGACTGAACACGGGCCAGGAGCTCCAAGCGCAGCAGGAAAGGTATTGTGAGGCCCAGGGCTCCCCACCAGGCCTTAAGTCCCCAGAAAGGTTCCAGAGGGTTCAGCGCCCAGACAGAAAAAGCTCGAAACTTCCTACACAAGCCGGAGCTCTGGAGGGAAACAGACCCTACAGGTCAGAGCGGATGGGCATTTCCATCCAGCCTGAAAAGGCCAGGAGAGTCCGGCCACCAGAGGGCGCCAGAGAACCACAGGAGATCCAGAAAGCTCCTGCCAGGGCTGAGCCTTTGGCTCCCAGGACCCCCAGGCCCGCAGCGAGATCCAGGAGCTGGTGTGGCCAACAAAGGGTGGGAGAGCCTCCCAGTGAGAACAGCAGGGGCTGGAAAATGATCAGGCCAGGGGTCTCCCAGCTGGCAGAAAGGGCTACCAGCAGAGTCAGGACCTCATCCTCCAAGCCATACTACATCCACTGGAGGAAGGAATGCACATCCTGGGAGGTCTCTAAGCCCCACAGACTCAAATGCCAGCAGCCCCCATACTGGAGAAGAGGAAGCCTGGAACCTACAGGGTGCAGAGGGGCTGGGCAGCAGCCTTCCTGCCATTCTGCAGAACCTGTCAGCTTCAGAGGGAGGCTCCACTCTGTGGGGGGAAAGCTAAGCCTGACCCTTCTGAACAAGATGTCCTGGTCTCCACAGCTTGCCAAGTGCAAGCACTCAGCCCCTAACCTGACCCTGAGGGAACCTGATTATACTCTGCTTCCCAAAGTGGGTAATTCACGTGCAGGGGAGGACAGGATTGGAGGCCACACTGCTTCACAGAGGGAACTTCAGCCACGAAGTCACTGCTGTACTGGAGCCACCCTTCCTAAGACAGAAAGATCCCAGGGCCAGGAGGCACCTGGAAATCCAAATGGGGCTCCACAGAATACACCAGGCTCCAAAAAGTTTGATTTTATGAAGCATCTGAGATTTTTTCTCTTTCAGCATGGCTTTAAAAAGTAGACTCAGGCCCAGAGTCCTCAGGACATGTTAGAAAAGGTTTGAGACTGTCCTGATCCCCACAAAGCCTCTAATAAATTGGTCATTTGGGCCCTGTGGGGTTCTAATTTCTATGGCACATGTTTTCTAAGCACTCCCTTTTGGGGTTTGGGATACTTTGTGGGTGGGGTAGAAGCCACTTCCACTCTGTGGTTGTGAAGATTTAGGGAATGTGGGTGACCCCAGTGTTCTCTCCAAAAAATGTCCCCTCCAGCCTCCTCACAGTAGAGTCCACTGAGGTTCTTTCCTGCCCTGTCCAAAAGCTAATCCTGATTAAGGCAGGATACTCCAACAGCCTTCGTTGCTTATGGGGAGCGGTGGTGCTCTACATGGGACACTAATTTTTCTTTTGAGATGGAGTGTCACTCTGTGGTCCAGGCTGGAGTGCAGTGGCTTGAGCTTGGCTCACTGCAACCTTTGTCTCATGAGTTCAAGTGATTCTCCTGCCTCAGCCTCCTGAGTAGCTGGGATTACAGGCATGAGCCACCATGCCTGGCAAATTTTTAAATTTTTACTAGAAGTGGCGTTTTGCCATGTTGCCCAGGCTGGTCTCAAACTTCTTTCTCTCTCTCTCTCTCTCTCTCTCTTTTTTACTTCTATTTTTACTTTTGGTCTCAAACTCTTTATTCTTTTTGAGATGGAGTCTTGCTCTGTCGACCAGGCTGCAGTGCAGTGGTGTGATCTCAGCTTACTGCAACCTCCACCTCCTGGGTTCAAGAGATTCTCCTGCCTCAGCCTTCCGAGTAGCTGGGATTACAGGCACCTGCCACCACGCCTGGCTAATTTTTGTATTTTTAGTAGAGATTGGGTTTTGCCATGTTGACCAGGCTGGTCTTGAATTACTGACCTCAGGTGATCCACCTGCCTCGGCCTCCGAAAGTGTTGGGATTAAAGGCATGAGCCACCACATCGGGCCTGTTTTTGTATTTTTTTTGTAGAGACAGCTACAAAAAGTACAGGTCGATGAGACATCCCAAGATGGGTCTCGCCATCTTGCCCAGGCTGGTCTTTAACTCCTGGGCTCAAGCAATCTGCCCACCTCAGCCTCCCAAAGTGCTGGATTACTGGTGTGAGCCACCACACCTGGCTGAAAGGATAAAGCAGCTGTCCCCAGCCTTTTTGACACTAGTGGCTGGTTTCGTGGAAGGCATTTTTCCCAGGGACTGGGGGTGGGGGTGAAGGTTGGAGCTCAAATTGTTCCACCTCCGATCATCAGGCATTAGTTAAGATTCTCAGGCCGGGCATGGTGGGTCACGCCTGTAATCCCAGCATTTTGGGAGGCCGAGGCAGGCAAATCACTAGGTCAGGAGTTAGAGCTATATGGTGAAACCCCGTCTCTACTAAAAACACAAAAATTAGCTGGGCGTGGTGGTGCATGCCTATAGTCCCAGCTACTTAGGAGGCTGAGGCAGATAAATCGCTTGAACCTGGGAGGCGGAAGTTGCAGTGAGCCGAGATCGTGCCACGGCACTGCAGCCTGGGCAACAGAGCGAGACTGTGAAAAAAAAAATTACTTTTCAACTTTGGGTGTGGTGAAGACATTCCTGCAGGGTTCTAAGCGCATACTGCTTTTGGCTTAGTTAGACACGACTCAGAGCCCTTGCGCCGGCCACTCACCCTCAGGTGCAGCTGCTCGCCTGAGACTGCGGCTTCCAGGGTCCGCGCAGGCGCATTCCACGATGACGCAAGCGTGTCCTCTAACTGCGCATGCCTGCAGGCTGCGCGGGAAAAGGTTCTGCCTCAGCGAGAGACGAGCGAGGAGATGGCCGTGAGGCAGGCGGCGACAGCGGGCACTCCCGGGCCCAGAAGGAACGAAGAGGCGGCTCTCCTCTTCGAGAGGGCCCATTACCAGCACGACTCGCGCTGGCTGCTGCCTGTGTCCCCCCGCCTGTGCTTGGCCTGCACGCTGGAGCTGCTGCCCGAGCCCGGCGTGTCGGTGCGATTGAACTCTTTCTTTGGAAGACCTGGGTTTGGGCATTACCCTCAGCAAACGCGGCCAGTCCCTCGCCAGACCCGCTACTGTGAACCCGACGCGAAACCGGGCCCCCGCGCGGTGTTCACGCCCCTCCCGGTCAGCCCGCCCCGCACCCGGTCACAGCGGCTTCACGGTCCCCTCAGCCCCAGGCCGGCCTGTTGGCCTCCGGGGAGCCCCGTCCACCGGGCCAAGCCTCCTGGCCGTGCGCCTGGAAGGGCAGAAATCCGGATCCCTCGGGACCTCACCCAGTCTCAGGGACACGCCTTCCTGCTTTCCGCCCTCTGGCCCCTTCCTTTGCTGGCCCTGCCTCCATTTCCCCAGGATTCAGCCTTAGCTGAGGCTCCCGCCATTTCTGTCCCCAGTCACCTGCGGGCCAGGCGCACAGGCGGCGGCCGCTCCTCATTCCCTTCAGCTGTCCGCGTGTGAATCCGAGGAGGGGCTGCCTGGGCTCCGGGGGGGACAGGAGTGACAGGTTACAGCCGGGCGGAAGTGGGGTGAAAGGGAAGACCTTTCCCCTGGCAGAGTTGGCTGGGCTGCCTGGGCCTTCAGTGCCTACCTGCGTTTGTAATGAGGGTTCTTTTTTTGTTTGTTTTTTGAGATGACTTGCCCAGGCTGGAGTGCAGTGGCGCAGTCTCGGCTGACTGCAACCTCCGTTTCCCGCGTTCAAGCGATTCTCCTGCCTCAGCCTCCCAAGTAGCTGGGACTATAGGCGCGTGCCACCATGCCCGGCTTTTTTTTTTTTTTTTTTGCGTGTGTGAGACAGAGTCTCGCTCTGTCACCAGGCGCCAGGCTGGAGTGCAGTGGCACGATCTTGGCTCACTGCAACCTCTGCCTCCCAGGTTCAAGCAATGCTCCCGCCTCAGCCTTCCGAGTAGCTGGGACTACAGGCGCACGCCACCACGCCCAGCTAATTTTTGTATTTTTAGTAGAGACAGGGTTTCACCTTGTTGGCCAGGATGGTCTGGATCTCTTGACATCATGATCCGCCCACCTCGGCCTCCCAAAGTGTTGGGATTACAGGCATGAGCCACCGTGCCTGGCCTAATTTTTGTATTTTTAGTAGAGACCGGCTTTCACCATATTGGCCAGGCTGGTCTCGAACTGCTGACCTCGTGATCTGCCTGCCTTGGCCTCCCAAAGTGCTGGGCTTACAGGTGTGAGCCATGGCAGTGACTTTTGTTGTCCATGGAGGCATCCAAGTCAAGTTTCTCTCAAATTCATGGGTGGGGAATTCCTGCTTGGGGGAATTGGCTAGATCAGCAGTTCCTTTTTTTATTTTTGGACAGTCTCCAGGGTGTCAACCTACATTGCCTAGGCGGTCTTGAACTCCTGTTCCCAGCGATTCTCCCACCTTGGTCTCCCAAAGTGCCAGTATAACAGGTGTGAGCTACCGTGCCTGGCTGCATTCTCAAATATTTTGATATTTTCATCTCAGGATACTTCATACAAAATTGTTGACCCCAAGTAGTTTTTGTTTATGTGGGTTATATCCATTGATTTTTTTTTTTTATTTTAAAGATGGAGTCTTGTTCTGTAGCCTGGGCTGGAATGCAGTGGTGTGATCTTGGCTCACTGCAACCTCTGCCTCCTGGGTCCTGTTTCAAGCAATTTTCCTGCCTCAGCCTCCCAAGTAGCTGCGATTACAGGCATGTGCCATCATGCCCAGCTAATTTTTGTATTTTTAATAGAGATGGGGTTTCACCATGTTGGCCAGGCTGGTCTTGAACTCCAGACCATATGATCCAACCTCCTCAGCCTCCCAAAGTGCTGGGATTACAGGCATGAGCCACCACTCCCAGGTATATTAACAAATTTTGTAGATTTTTTTGGAGACAGGTCTCACCCTGTTGCCCAGGCTGGAGTGCAGTGGCACGATCATAGCTCACTGTAGCCTTGACCTCCTGGGCTCAAGTGATCCTCCTACCTCACCCTCATAAGTAGCTGGGGCTACAGGTGTGAATCACCACGCCCAGTGAATTTTTTATTATTTGTTGTTACAGGGTCTCACTATGTTGCCCAGGCTGGTCTCAAACTCCTGCATTCAAGCTGTGGTCTTCTTGCCTCGGCCTCCCATAGTGCTGGAATACAGGCATGAGCCATTGTGCCTGGCCCATAAGTAATTTTTTTATTGTGGCAAAATATAGATAATATACAGTTTATCATTTTTAGATTTTTTTTTTTTGAGACACAGTCTTACTCTGTCGCCCAGGCTGGAGTGCAGTGGTGTGATCTTGGCTCACTGCAACCTCCGCCTCCTGGGTTCAAATGATTCTCCTGCCTCAGCCTCCTGACTAGCTGGAATTACAGGTACGTGCCAACATACCCAGCAAATTTAGCAGAGATGGGAGTTTCAGCATGTTGATGAGGCTGATCTGGAACTCCTGAGCCTGTGATTCACCTGCCTTGGCCTCCCAAAGTGTTGGGAATACAGGTGTGAGCCACCACGCTCAGCCATTTTTAGATCTTTTTAAGTGTTCAGGCTTGTGGCATAAGTAACTTAAAAAAATAGAAATAACTGTATTTTCTCAAGAAAGATAGTGACAGGAGTGGTTTTGTTTTATATTTTTGCAAGTGGCTTTAATTGAAGGCAGCTTGGCCAGGCGCAGTGGCTCATGCCTGTAATCTCACTGCTTTGGGAGGCAGAGGCTGAAGGATTACTAGAACCCAGGAGTTCAAGGCTGAAGTGACCTACGATCTAGTCACTGCACTCCCTCTTGAGCAACAGAGAGAGACCCTGTCTCTCCTAAACAAAAACAGCTGGATTTTTATCTGTTTCTGCAGTCTGTTGTGCTATAATGTCATGTAGTATCAAAAACTCCACTGTACAATTGTGGGAGAATAAGAATAAGAAAGACTGGCCGGGCGCGGTGGCTCACGCCTGTAATCCCAGCACTTTGGGAGGCCGAGGCGGGTGGATCACGAGGTCAAGAGATCGAGGCCATCCTGGTCAACATGGTGAAACCCCGTCTCTACTAAAAATACAAAAAATTAGCTGGGCATGGTGGTGCGTGCCTGTAATCCCAGCTACTCAGGAGGCTGAGGCAGGAGAATTGCCTGAACCCAGGAGGCGGAGGTTGCGGTGAGCCGAGATCGCGCCATTGCACTCCAGCCTGGGTAACTAGAGCCAAACTCCCCCCCAAAAAAAAAAAAAAAAAAAACAATAAGAAAGACTGTCAGGGCATGGTGGCTCACGCTTGTAATCAGAGCACTTTGGGAGGCTGAGGCGGGTGGATCACCTGAGACTGGGAGTTAAATACCAGCCTAGCCAACATGGAGAAACCCCCTCTCTACTAAAAATACAAAATTAGCGGGTGTGGTGGCAGATTCCTGTACTCCCAGCTACTTAGGAGGCTGAGGCAGGAGAATCACTTGAAGCCGGGAGGCACAGGTTGGGGTGAGCCAAGATTGCACCATTGGACTCCAGCCTGGGTAATGAGTGAAACTTCACCTCCAAAAAAAGAACCCTAAAAAAAAAAAAGACCCAAGAACATTATAATATTATATGAAAATATTTTTGTTCTTGTGGACACGAAGTTCTGAGGATGCTATTTTTGGACAGTAAATCAGAGATTAATAAGACAGTGCAGCAGGAGAGAAAATAAGAGAACATGTTATTTAGAACTTAGAAGAATGCACATGTTTGTGGTTAAGTGCTGTTCACGATAAGGAGAGGAATTAGGAAAGGTTTCTTAGGGGAGGAAGCATTCAAATTAGGGTTAAGAAGATAGGTGAGGTTTGGACCAGAGGAAGTGGGAGGCTGATTATCCCAGGAGGTAGGTGTTAGAAGGATGGGTTTTGGGGATAATCATAGTGTTTGAAGGGAAATTAAGAGATGAGATTGGAGAGGCAGGTAGGTTGAGGACAGTTCTTTGAAGAGTTTGAAACCAAGCTAAGGAGCTTGAACTTAATCTGTCAGATGAAGGGGAGTTACTGGGATTTTTGAGTAACTCATATAGATGACTACTTTATTATGTAGGATGAATTGGTAAAGCAAAAACAGGAGACTTACAGTAGCACAGAAGAGAAGCAATAAGATATGTAATTTCTACCTTTTATTGAAGAAACTTTTTTTTTTTAAAGTTGGGGTTTCACCATGTTGGTCAGGCTGGTCTTGAACTCCCGACCTCAGGTGATCTGCCCGCCTTGGCCTCCAAAGTGCTTGGATTACAGGCGTGAGCTACCACACCTGGCCGAAACTTTTTTTTTTTTTTTTTTTTTAATGGAGTTTTGCTCTTGTTGCCTAGGCTGTAGTTGCCCTGGCTGTGCAATCTCAGCTCACTACAACCTCTGCCTGCCAGGTTCAAGCAGTTCTTCTGCCGCAGCCTCCCGAGTAGCTGGGATTAGGCACCCACCACCACATCTGGCTAATTTTTTGTACTTTTAGTAGAAATGAGGTTTCACCATGTTGGCTAGGCTGGTCTCAAATTCCTGACCTCAGCTGATCCACCCAGCCCGGCCTCCCAAAGTGCTGGGATTACAGGTGTGAGCCACCACACCTGACTTGAACACACTTTTCTTAACCTCATTCCTCACTAATTAAAGAGGTGATACAGTCAATTATACTTGTTTTCTGGTTCTATCCTCAGTGTTTACCCGTTTTGGACCTACCTTTTGCTATTGTCATGAACACATCGCACAACTTCTACTCAGTTCCCTTTAAAAGGAAGTGACTTGAGTATGAGAATTTATAGCTACATTGAATAGAAGGATAT